TAAACCCTTAAAGACATCTAAACATTAATTATTGTCTTGCTTATTGCAGACTATGGCCCATTGTCTTTGGCTATGTCCAGACTCCACTCTTTCTACAGCTGATAAGGAAACTTCATTACCCAGTGTGGCGTGCGCAGTAATTACAAGTACATGGAGGAGAGGGAGAGCTCTGGGCAGTGTGTGTGACCGGATTGGCTGTTCATATCATCTCTATCCATTTGGTTCTGGACTTAACAAGCGTGCAAATCTGGACAGCCTAATAAGATTCTCCAAAGCACATCCACGGATTATGTAATTAAAAAGGGACCCAATTGATTTTTCGTGCTTCTTTTCATCCCAAAAGAAAAAGACTCCTCGACTGCATTCGGCCAGGTCCACACTATATGTCACCATTAGGAATAAACGGGTCTGAATCAAGACTTCATTTGAATCATGGAACACTTAAAGGTCCCATATTACACTATTTTATGATCTATGTTCTTGAGTTTCCTCATTAAAAACATACCTAGAGTTGTGTTTTTTTCATTCACACATGTTTCGTCCATGTTCAGAGTTCTTCTCTCAAACACCTTGTGAATGTCATGTGGAAATACAGGAAGTGCCCCACTCCATGCACTTTCACTAGAATCATTTAGATGATTTCAACCCTGGAATTGTTGATCTTTACTGAACTAAAGCCAACAGGTAATTGTTAACTTGTCTATTTTGCATTTATTCATTTAAAGGTGTTTTTAATTGCTCAAAAATACAATTTCAGCTGTGGGTGGGGTTGCCTCTCCACAGATCTAACCAATATCTTGGCATGGTGCTGGTGTCATCTTGTGTCTCCATGGAAAAAGAGAAGTTTAATGCCACACAGTGCCAAGTTTAATGTCATCCAGGCAATAACACCACCACAGAGATAAGCAGGTGCGGGACCTTTAAAGGTGCACTGTGTGACTTTTCTGGAGGGGATCAGCAGCCAGTTTGTCTCCATGGAGATGTTAATGCTAGGTTTAAATTGTCCCCAGTATGGCATTAAACTAATCTGTCTTCATTCAGCTACAGGTTTTATTTATTGCTCAAACATATCTTAAAAAACATCATTCCTTACTGTGAGTCGGGTCGCCTCTCCACAAATATGACCTGTAATTTGTCTTGCAGGCCATGTGAAACATTCTAGTCACATCTCCATGGAGACAAGCAGGTAACGGTCCCTCCACCAGACTGTGCTCCTTTAAGTAAAAGAACAGCCCTTTCTCCCAGTCCGCTCATACTAATACGACTTTATAATCCATTTGAGGGTTCATTTGTAGGTGTATTACTGATAATTCATTATTGATTCATAGCTAATGAGACTTTTAAATAGTTGTATTAATTTTACATTCAGATTGGTTTGCACTGAGACTTGGACTTTTACAGGGCTGTGCAGAGCTCCAAGCCTATTTGAGTGCAGTAATTAGAACTGGTGGCAATGTCAACATCCCTCCAATCTCCTGGGCCGGTCCAGTCAGCAGTGGTTACGCCTGGCCGTGCTTCATCAAGAACTGGTTTCCCAGTAAAAGTCATTATCTAGAGCAGTGATTCTCAAACTGTGGGACTTGTACATATGATGGGCACATTATGGAGGATTTGTAGTCCTTTACAAAAATCTCAGCAGTGTCTGTTATACGTTCAGTTGCTGGTTTAGGCCTTTATGTTTAGACCATAGTCTGTATAAAGAAGTGGACTAAGGGAGTGTGGTGTCACCCATAGCGTTCAACTCCAGTCAAATGAAGCTCACAAGGGTAGGAGTTATGGAAGAGAATTTGGAGCTGAGTTCAATATTAGGAATAGGAATTTATTTACAGACAAAACAGCAAAATAAAAACACCAGGTTCATGTAGGGTTAGGGTTAGCTATGTTCTAGTTTACTCTTTATTTTGTTACAGTAAGTTTAGTCCTGGTTTAGATATTGTACTTCTCTGGTACTTCTTTTAGTCCTGTTTTTTACCTGATTATAGTCCTGGGTTGTCACTGAAACTCAGATTGAAATTTATACCAAAACTGGTATTGAAGCTAGATACTCATTTGAGGAAGCAACAATTCTGAAAATAATAACAGAAAATTTCTGAACTTCCAGATGAGTGTTAAAACGATGATGTCAAATTTTAAAATAGCTTTCATCTATATGAGAAGTACTGTAAGACCATGTGACAATATTCAAGAAACGACTAATATTTTGTGTTGCAAATAGTAATAAAAGGGAGTTTTTATTGTGGTATCGAAGAAGGGATTGATATTTTGTTGTACTGAAATCAAGTTTGGAATTTTAGTATCATGACGATGCAAGTCTTGGTTTGTTTTTTCAACATTCTTTACCATTGTGATCTTATTATATGCATTAGCATTGCACTAGAAATATTACTGGTATTATTAATAACTGGTGTAAAACTCCCTGAATATTGCACGACGTCTGACTATGGTTTATTCCCTGTTTAGTTCAATGTGAGGCCACACAGCTGCTGCCTTTAGTTCACTTTGTGTGTGCTGCTCCTCGGCCTTGTGAAAAAATGATTTAAGTCGTCCTTGATCACTGAAATAGGCCTGACCTTACACGGGTTTTCACTCTGGGCCTGTTCTAAGTTTGTGTTTTAGTCTTCAAATATTCATGCCAGTGCATACCTTATGAAAGCGTGCAAGATTTATGGAACAGATGAACACCATACAAAAGAATAAGAGGTTTATGCATCATTGTCTGCTATTGTTAATTTCAAACAGAAAACTCATCTACAGTATTTGCCAATCAACACTATAGTGTATCACTGCACAAATTGAGGCAAGTGATTTTTGACAGCTAACAAAAAACTGCATTTAACTACATGACACAAAATTGTTATGTTGTTACCTCATCAAAAACATACCTGTAGTTGCATTTTGTTTCATTCGCAAGTGTTTGAGTAACCCCTTATTATTAGTCTGTCTACATACAAGTTGGAGCAGAGTGTTCAGTTTGAGAGGACTAAAAATGCAGGGTTTGTGTGTTAAACATGTTAAAAATAAAACACAGCTCCAGGTATGTTTTTGATGGGGTAACAACATTATGACATAGATCAGAAAATGGCGTGATACGAGCCCGTTAATTATAATTTTACGTGCTGAGTGGGGTTTAAAAATTCTCTGCTTCATAAATGCTTTACTAATTACTAAAATGAAAGTGCCCTCAGGATAAAGGATTTCAGTGCTGCACAATTTAAAATTTGTCTTTATATAGGCCTATATTTTCAGGACACAGTTGTCAAAAGCCTTAAAATGAATTTGTGATGTAGCAGTTCAGTGAGCAGCAGGTGCATGTGGAGGTTGTGAACTGTGTCTTTTGTAGATCACCTCTTCCTCTCATACCACACAGATGCTTCCTCTTTCTTTTTCTAGTGGCGGACCTTCTGTAATAACAGTGAGTTAACACTTCATGGGGGTATTACTGAAGGATACTGAGTGTTATATCTCCCCAATGGGTCCTACTGGTCCTGTACAGTATAATGGTATTACTATGGCCTTAATAAGGATTGCGTATATAAGATAGCATGCATGAACCCAAGACTTCAGTGTGGTTCAAACTAGCTTCAGATTCCACTGTGTTTTCTAAATTGTAAATAGGAAACATTTCTCAACAATTTATTAGCAGGGTTTTATTTGAGGCTTGTGATAGATTTGAGTGGTTGCAGTTGCAAGTTTGTCTGATTATTAGCCCATTATTTAATTGTTGTAAACTTTTTGTAAACTATTGTGAACTTTTGACACTATTAAGGGCCGGTCTCATTTCTAATTTCTGCCCCTACCTCTTCCCCTATCCCCTTGCCCCTTGAAACTGAGCAACAAAGGGTAGGCTACGAATTGGGACACCCCCTCAACAATCACATAAATCAATAGTCTCCGCAGCTTTTACATAAGCAGACGTGACGAGCTTTTGCCTGAAATCCAACATATCATATATATATATATTTATAATATTATTAGTATAAGAATAAATATATGTATGGTATATAATATAATAATAATTTGTGAACTTCTTTGGTCTCTGTGGTCATGGTAGCAGCCATCTTGCCCGTGATTCGCAAGACATTCTGGGAAATTGCTCATACCCCTCTGTTTGGAGTGTGCCTCTAAACATCTTCATTTGGAGGGGTATATAGTCCCACCACTTTCCCCTACCCCTCTGCCATAACGGTAACTGGAAAGTGGCATGGCTACGGGGTGTAAGTTACTGATACACATGTCTTTGATCCCAAATGTTCAAATATTTTTAAGTTTTATTTTTAACTTTCTATATTATACAAGATGGACTCTTGTGAGCTTTAAGCATGTTATAATGCTGTAACTATTTATTATTAGTCTGTCTAAGTCTCCAAATCTCAAAAAATACTCTGTTCCACCTTGTGATGCCATGAAGCTGTTTTCAAATGACTGTGTGATAGGCCTACCACATGACATCACAAGGTGGAAAAGAGTGAACTCAACCTAAATATGTAGGGTTTGTGAGTTAAGCATGTATGAATAAAACAAAACACAACTTCAGCTATGTTTGTGGTGAGGAAACAACTTTATAACGTAGATCAGAAAATAGCGTAATATAGGCCCTTTAACAAACATTATTAAAGTAATTCGGCCTATTTGTAAAAATCATGATTAATCTGAGAACATTACAGTACGAGCTGTGCAAACAAACCTCACAACGCTTTTAAGGAGCCGGTGTCTGATCTTCTCACTTTTATTTACGACTCGTACTATTAGCACCATCTGTCCAATGATCCACACATACACGGCGTTTAGCGGAGCTCCCTTCCTCCCATCCCTCCATCCCTCCCTCCCTCTCTCAGCGGAACCTGGAGCGCTGTGGTCCGTGGCTGCCTCATATCCACTGTTCGCGTGGCGCAGCTTTCCTTCCCTTCTTCTCCTGTCAGCTGATGATGACGTAGAGGAGCGCGCCCATAACCGTGGCCTCGTGCGTGCGTGTGTGTGTGGTTTCAGGGATGATGCGCATGTCTCTATCTGTCTCTATGTGACTTTTATCCAACCTGGGGGCACGCGTTGGAGGAGGGACGCTGTGTGTGTATGTATGGCATAGGGCGCAACCGTTTCACACCTTGGATACGGAGCGAAGACCGGCCTTGTAACGCGCGATAATGAGCCACGGAGGAATAATAATAACTCAAAGTCCTTCGGCGACAGGCAGCGTGCGCCTCTAGACCAATCAGGAAAGCCCTATTTAGCAGAGATCAGATTTAATATTATGGATGTGTAGAAGACAAGGCATTTATCTCCACGCTCAATATAGGCTACTGTAGATTTGCTGCGCAGCGGAGAAAAGGCACAGAAGGAGAAGGAGGCGGTGGAGGAGAGGCAGGAGCGCTGATTCACGGCTGCTGCTCGCACGAGGGAGAGACGAGGAGCGGCTATCTCCAACCTTAAAATACTGACCCCCCGCGCGCCTCCTCCCGTCTCCCTCTGCCCCCCTTCTTCGTCATTGACAGCTCTGCGACCGGGTCAGTCCCTGCGTCCGAGGAGGAGAGGAGCGAGGACAGCGGAGAGAGGGGCTACAGCCGAGGAGAGGAGAGGAAGCGAGGAGAGAGAGAGCGCCTTTTGGACCAGTTTAACCCAATCTTCCGTAGCTTTATCACTGAACTGGACTCTAGAGTGCATGAAGACTACCCAGCTGTGGATATTTTCTTGTTGGTTTGACTCTCCGTTACACGCCACAGTGCAAAGTGAGGCGTAATTAAACACGCGAGGTGGATAGGAGTCTTTCGCAGCGTCCCCACACAGCTCCAACACAAATCCAGGTAGGTTTATGTCAGCGTAACCAACCTGCATACCTTCACACGTTCTTATGATTTTAGTCTAATGACAGTGTTGTTGACGCACATGTTGGCTTGGCGTGATATGAGTGATGAGACGAGGTGATGTCAGCTCGTGCAGCCTCGCAATCTGCTCCGTCCACTGTCCCTTTTCCCATTTCCCCGATCTATTGGCTCAAATGGATTCGTGATAGCGTCTAAATGGGTGTGTCGTTACAATAATTGCCACCGTGGAGACAGTTTTAATCATTATTAGCCCACAGCCCATAAAGCAACGCGAATCATTGATATAAGGCAATATTACGGCGCTTTGATCCCACTGTTGCCATGCCGTAAAATGTTATTTCCTAAAGTGTCATGGTAATTTTACATGTGTTAAGACGCGAGGGCCTATAGCTTGGATAAGTTGTAGAGGGGGTATCTTAGCACCAAGAGGGATTCCCCCCCGTTCAGTTCACTGACAGGCGGCACTGACTGGAGAAACTACTGGGCTGTTGTCCGATGATTAATCTGGAACAGCTGAAGCTCGCGCAGTGCTGAGCGCATGTTTACGCCCAGCTCAAATGCCCTCTTTAAACCGGACCCCCCTTCCCAAAATAGGGGGTAGGAAAGAGGAGACCCGTGAGCAGCCTGCACCCCAGTCACCAAGCCTCCACATAATATGGAAATGCAGAAATCTATAGAGTGAATGGGTGTAATGGGATTGGTCTAATCAGTGTAATCCATAAAGAATTTACATTTACATAAGAAATATATGAATATCTTTATGTAAATTTAATACTACAGTCTTGATTTGAATACTTCAGGCCCTAACGGTGCAATTTCTAAACACAAATCAACAATCATTTGCATCATACACACCAGATTTATTTAGAAAGTGATGCGCAGTTCATAACATCCAAGGCACAACTTGAGACTGTTTTGATTGGTTACTGCATTTCTTCATTCGGCTATAGGATACTTTAAGCCAGATGCTCTTCTTCATGCAATCTACAGGCATTCAAGACAAGACCGTCTACTAAGTTTGTCAATACTGACACAGTAGTAGACTCTATATACTCTATATACTTATACTTTAAATTGGATGAAGTTCATGGGCCTATAGGATTTGTCTGTAGAGTCAACTCTGAGATAAATTAACAAGGCTTTCAAATTGTCAAGACATTAAAGTTGTGCAAATATTGTGCAAAATTGACTCTTGTGAGCTTTAAGCCATGTTATAATATTGTTTCCTCATCAAACATACTTGGAGTTGTGCTTTGTTTATTATTAATTTGTCTATATCTCCAAATGCTCTGTTTTACCTTGTGATGTCATGAGGTGGTCGTGTTAAGGTTAACACCACCTTTTGCTTTTAGTTCAGTAGATATTAACAATTCCGTTACTGAAATTATCCAAATGAATCTAGTGAAAGGCTAAGGAGTTTAAAAACATAGTGGATCTCTTCCTGTATTACCACATGACATCACCGATTGGAACAGAGTGTTTTCTGTTTGAGAGAAGAACTCAGCCTGAATATGCAAGGCTTGTGTTAAACATGTTTGAATGAAATAAAACACAACTCCAGGTAGTTTCTGTTGAGAAAAGTTATAACATAGATCAGAAAAGAGCATAATATGGGCCCTTTAAACCTCTTTAATTACACAGTTCTTTACACTTTTCTGTGATGCAAACAAACTAAAAGAATCAGTAAATGTAGGCCCATCTTAATTGCTCTTCTTAATCTTTTATATTACCAATATGTATTTTCTATGATTCATGTTTGACGTCTTATTTCTTCAAAGTGTCTCCAATTATCTACAGTGGAGGTCAGTTCCCTTCTCAGTTCTCTTTATTTTACAAAACACTTAAAATACCACTAGCTTCGTCACGAAATGCCCCATTGATTAATTACACAATAGCTACTTTCTCCAGACAGCGAGCCCAATATTTATGTCATAGAGAAGTGGTCAGCCAGACAAAAGCTTCACCATCATTTCCTTCCTGATTTATTTTTCTCACACACAGTTCCTCATTTTTAAACAAACTCCTCTCTATTTTTTGCTGAGGGCTCTTGGTTTCAGGTGATGCAGAGACTGTTGCCATGGTAACAGGAGTTGTGGAAAAGGTGAACAACTTTTGCTGTACGTTTTTGAACGCCTAAAATTTCACCTGGATAAACATGATACTCGTCAAGTTTGTGCTTGGTTTTATTAAGCAAATCCTCAGAAAATGTTTGGTACAATTAATGATTTATATATACTATAAGAAAAAATATTTAAACCAAAGGTGCACTGTGTAACTTGTACTTAACTGTTCAGCCTGGGATGTTTTACAGTATGACATTAAACTTGTCTATCTCCATGGAGACAAGCAGGCAAAGGTATAGATCAGTTCGGTGGAGAGGCGGGCTCGCTCATACAAGAATGCAAGTTCTTAAAGGTGTTTCTGAACTATAAAATCATTTAATGAAACAAAGTCTAGACTTTTAATGCCATACTGTGGAACATATCAAGCAAAACTATAACATTTCCCTAAAGACAAAAAAGGTTGCTTACCCTCCACCAGAAAAGATACATAATGCACCTTTAAATAGATTATGAACAGAAAACAAAACTTGATAAAAATATGTTTTCAGTTAGGAACAAGCTAAACCAAATGTTGAGTCAAGTTGAGTTAAAGGTGCACTGTGTAACTTTTCTCTAAGAAGATTGCTTTCCACACCCTACCTTTAAAGCCATGTATCTCCACAGAGAAAGACAGGTGATGCCATAGATATTTAAATGACGGGTCTACGGGTGATGTATGCCAATAGGCCAAGTTAAAGGTCAGATCTGTGGAGAGGCAAGTCTGCTTACATGTTTCAGTTATACATGTTTTTTAAAGATAAAAAAAAAAAAGCAATACCTGAAACTGAGTAAATGCAACGCAGATTGATTTTGGTTTTCTGAAGAAAGCAATTACTTAGAGAAAGACCTAACACCAGAAAACCTTGACAGTGCACCTTGAAGAGCAAAGTTGTGGGACTAAGTGGATCTTTATAACTTTATCACATTAAGTGTAAAAGTGAAAGTGGTTGTGATTTCCTGTTGTTAATGTCATTGGTTGGTGAGCTGGAACCACACTTGTTTCCTGGTGTGTTGCTGACACCTGGGTTTATTTATGGGGTGTTAATAAATCTATTGTTTTTCAAATCTGCCACAGAGTTGTTCAGCACAACCCTTTAAAGCAGCAGTTAAACAAAGCAAAACAATTCTGTAAGATTAACACACATCTGCCCCTTTGTCACAGTTTAAACTCTGAGAAGAGAGTGGAGAAATGGACGCTGTTTTTTTTTTTTTTTTTTTTTTTCAAGTGCCAAAATTATAATCATACTTAAAGGTGCACTGTGTAACATTTTGGTTGGGTGTCCATCACCTGCTTCCACCTGTTTCTATGGAGATGCCATTGCTGTACCTGGAATGTTCCACAGTATGACATTAAACAGCCTTGTCTTCCATTACGGATCGTTTTATAGCTCAAAAATACCTACAAAAACAGGTATTCTGACTGTGAATAGAGTTGCCTCTCCACAGATCTGACCTGTAACTTGGTCTGGTGGTCTGGTTTGGTCTCCAAAGGTTTAATGCCATACTGTGAAATATTCTAGACAAAGCAATAACATCGCCATGGAGAAAAGCATTTGACGGACCCTCCAGCAGAAAAGTTATGCAGTGCAACCTAAATTATTTTTATTTTTATTTTTATTTTTCTCAAATATTTCATAACCATGTTTATCAGCAGATTGAAGGAGATAAACATATTGAAATTAAATACTGAATGGACAATTATGTAAATTTTCCTATATATCTTATGCTGTAAAAATTATTTCTGTTGACATTTTGTATTTTGGTTTTCCAGCCAACAATCCCGTTAGACAGTAAAATGAACTCCTCACTTTGGGATGCCAGATCTTAGGTTTGGGAATATAAAAAATGTATATATTTTTTTCTCATATTCATCAATTACGACTTTTCTTTGTCTTGTTAAAATTCTTTCCTGATGTCTGAACACTGTTTCAAACCCCGTGCTTTTACTCACACAGAAGACTGGCTGTGAACCTCTCGATTAAAAAGCATATCATTGATGAAATTGGGTTTGGACTGATGTTTGCTTTCTCAGTGTTTTTTTTGTGTGTGTAGTGTGGATAGATGTGTGGGGTGTGGCAGGGTTTTGTTTGGGGTTATGTAAAATTTACATTAAAAAAAATGTCTTGATGCTTCGAGGTGACTGAATCTAGATATAGATTTTGTGTGTGTACAATTTCTTTGCAAATGTTGGGAGATTTTTGTTATATTTGTTTTAATAAGGTAAGATCTAAGCTGTAGAAAGTTGAATAAGTAATTTCTATGGCTAATTATTGGTTCATTCTGTTATTTATTTGTTGCAGCTCAGGCCTTTTAATGATACTATCTATTTAAAAATGGTTTATTGTCGGGATGTAACAATAACCAAAATATCGTGATATTGTATTGTTAAAGTTCTCACAATAATATCATGGACCATCACAATATATCAAATTACAAGTCTCTTTGCTTAAATTAAGAGTTATGGTGCAGCAATAGCTAAAAAAAAGACAGGGGGGGCTACATAGACTATAATAGATAATAGAAATAAGAGTTCTAAGCACTTTTAAGCCTTAGTTCTTTGGATTAAGTCTTGTCAAGGCATTTTAAAAGGAAAAAGTAGCATATTCACAGTTTTGTTAGCCTCCACAAAATATTGCAATATATATCCTACCATAAGATGAAAAATGAAAAAAGATTTGGACATTGTTACATCATGAGCCTCCCCACTATATCATGAGCTTTCCCACGATATTGCAATAAATATTGTACCGTGAGGTTCATACTGTGACGATATCGTATCGTGGGACTTGGATATCGTTACACCCCTAGTTTATCTAGCTTTATTACTTTTTGGATCATAAAGTAGTTTCAATATTATCACAATAGTTCTCTGTAGAG